CTTTATTCATATCATGTGAGATTTGAACTAGTTTCAGACCTGTTCTGAACTAGTCCTACTAGTCTCTAAAAAGTTCCGGTCCAGACCCAGTCCGAACTAGTTCCCTGTGAACTATTTAACATCCCTAATTTAAATCTTCAAGGTAAAGATTCCAAATAGATTTTTGTATCCAAGCCGATTTATTCCAATAATAGTCAACAGGCAACTTGCTTTTATCCATATTTCGAATTGAATAAACAATGGTTTTAACCTTTCTGAGCCAGTTGTATTTGCAGTTAACAATACTGTAACATGATCTTTTGCTTTTTTAGTTCCTGAAACTGGTCCTATTGCTAATGTACGAGATAGTTCTAATCTATAATATAAACTGGTTTCATCGCAATTAAAAACATTACCAAGCTGGTATGATTGAATAATACTTTGTAATTTACTTCTGAATTTAGGTAATTTGTCTAAAGATGCACTATTAGCTTCACCTTGACGTTTGTATTCACGAATATTGTGTCTTTGTTTAAAATTCTGCAACCATCTATTTGATGCATTAAACTTATCTTCATTTAGTAATTGAGCAAATTCTTTAGCCTTATTTTGAATAAGATAACTAGTTAAGGTTTGCTTATTATCTATCACATGTTTAACCCAAAGTGCAATAGCTGATTCAACATTTACATAAACAGGTTTTTTGTTTCGTTTATTATTTGCATCATTAGAAGTTGGATCAATAGATAACTAGTGGTCTGACTTTGCTAAAATCTTGCTACAAGAAGATTTGCTAATTCCAAATTTGGCTACAAGTTCCCGATTTTTAATACTAGGCTCATTTTTTTTCTGAAAATATAAATCATACCGTTGGCTATTAGTCAAGGTAACTCTTTTTTTCTTTTGAGTATTATTGGGTTCATTTTCGATTTGCCGCTTACTTGTAGCAATATTCATACTGGAAAAAAAAGAGAGACAAAGTAAAAATTTCAAGTAAAAAAAAATATATTTATACTTTGATTATATTTTGATTACACTTTGATTAAGTTACACAAATTTTTATTATAATAGTAAATATTTGTTTAATATTTCGCTTTATTAAGGTATTTGTTATATCAAGATAATTTTATTATAAATAAAAAATTTTTTCTTTATTATACAATATAACAAGGTTTTATAATTAAAAT